TGGGAGTATGTCAATGTACGATTTGGAACCAAGAGGTCTGTTTATCTTGGGGAAAGTGCGCTGAAGAGATGATCTAGGGAATAGCCACACTTTTCATGAAAATAGGTCATTATAAATAGTGAAGAAAGCCTCTTTAGAGTCCTTACTACTCAGAAGGCCCAAAGATTGCCCTCATGAGCCAGTTTGAGTTCACCTGCGTCCTTCCTTCACCCTGAACCCAGCCAGACGCGTTCACTCATCCGACCACCTCAAACCAGCCCAACTCGACCCATTGAAGGAAAAGTGCTCTTTCAGAGCTCAAGAATACGATCTTGTTTAAGAAGAAAGGCTCCAAGCCATCATTAAAAGACTTTCCAGCCGAGACAATGGAACAATGGTCATGTAAGACTCCAGCAGAAGGTGCTTGCTGATAGCAGACCTGCCTAAAGAAACGGTTGTTTCCATCTACCTAACGCGTGTTTCTTCGCGTTGAACACGCTGGGGTTGCTGGCCGGTGCATCCGAATGCGAGATGATGGAGTAGGGCTATCCCTAATGTCTAGGAGCGCTGTTGGCGTGCGAACCATACTTGGTCCTTCCACTCATCCTCACCAGATTTGCCATAGCATTCAACAGGGCAGAGGTTCAAGGCTGAGCCCGGTGCAATGGGGTTGGCGCCAGCCAGCCCTTGGCTTTAGAATGGTCTTAATCTTCCAACTAACAAAGCCTCCCAAGAAGTGGTAGTGGAAACGAATTACAATCTATGATTCGTGAAAAGTACATACTATAGTGCTTCTAGGGTATACGAGAGAGAAATACAGGTGGGCGGGATGACTTCCCCTGTCCACCGGATCAAACAGAAGTGATAGTGCTGTGGCACTTGCAGCTCTTTCTATGTCGGCTGTAATTACGGCTACTGATCTCGTGATAACTAGGGAACTGGTGAGATGGTGATTATTCTATGACCACGTTCTACTCACCAACGGTCGCACGTTCTTTTCTGACCCGTACGAATATGACTGCTCTTGCTAGAGGCAGATGGAAAGCGCCGTTGGCTGTATCCTGTGTCAGTAATACCAAGGCTTCAAAGAAGTCGATTACACACCATTGGGGATCCCCGCAGTCACCACCGCATCTAACAGGATAAATACGAAGATGGTTCTTAAGGATGTGGGAGACTCCAATATCTCTTCGCTTGAACTCTGGGCCACAAGTTCCTCCCACCCCTCCGAAAGGGCACGACCAAGTTCTCGACGGCTGGTCATTATTGACGCGCAGGAGCCGCGATGCTCGGTCTTTCACAGCGGGTGTATGAACCACTGACATCACTTCTCGGAGAGTCTGTTGCAACTCTTGATCAGCCGGAAAAGAACTTATGCAGAACGATTCAATCGAATCGTCCGCGAGGGCGACATTGTTGGCCAAAGGCGTGTTATTCGACGAAATATATAGTTCGGAATTCGGCTCTTCTATGGATAGAGCAGGTGTAGGGGCGTCATCTTCCCCTGTGTAGGATGGCGAGGTCATATGGGCTGGTTGGAACACCTCTCCCGCTAAACCTTGGCCTTGTTCTTGGTTGAACATACCAGGACTCGTTTCACCGTGGGATGATGCATCCCTTTGCTGCCTATAGCTGGCCATCATAACATGCAGGGATGAATCTGACAAAAAAGCCGATTCGTGGGCTGGGAGGGTTGGTAGAGGCCGTGCTTGGTTGAACTGTATGGGAATAGGATCGCATCTTTGCATTGATGGGGGAGCAATGGGTTGACTGAAGGTATGAGGAGACAAGTGGGAAGAAACACCAGTCGTCGAGGCGCCGGAAGTACCGCCAAAGATGGAATCCATCTCAAGTTCAAGACCAGCTTGACGTGTTGTCTTATATGCATGTGTCGGCTGTTCGAAATGACCGGGTGAAAATTGACCTAGATTGGTAAAGGGTGTGCCTACGAGGCTCGAGTTAGCGAGGTATTCCCTTCGTTAAGAAGACTGACCGGCATCCATTTGTGCAGACCAATTCGGTCGGGCTTGCGAGTGAGAGGCAGAATAGCGTGAAGGGAACCCAATGGCTACGATGGAAGTTGATCAGCGTTGCTTACAAGTTACATACTCGGAG